TATATATATATATATATATATATATATATATATATATATATATATATATATATTGTTCATAGTACTTACTTTGAACCTTGGTGTGACCCAGTACATTTAAAAAAAAAATTTCAGCATATGTTTCTGTGGTCCCTAGTCTTAAAGATTCTTATGGGAGCCAAGCATAGTGGAACACACCTTTAATCCCAGCCACAGAGAGGCAGAGGCAGATGGATCTCTCTTAGTTCGAGGCTCACTGGCTAGTCAGGGCTACATAGTAAGACCCTGTCTTAAGAGAGAACGATAGAATGGTATAGGAGCCTACGAGGCCTCTCTCTTCTCTTAAAGTCTAGTGGCTAGTAGTTTTCATCCATTCAGGATCACTTTCATGACTTAGAACTGTTGATACATAGTGGCACTGTTGGCCTGGGTGATGGTCACACTGCACTAGCTGGGAGCCATTAGTGTTTTTAATTGGCGTTTAGGCAGAGAGCAGTTCTATTTGACGAGAGTCTTTGCTTTCTTCATTCTCATTTTCCTGCACTCAGCCCCCACCACCCCAACTGCAGCAGCCTGCAGGACCTTGGTGTCTACACCTGGCTGATTCTCCGTGTCCCTGGCTCTGCCTTGTCTTCCCCGTATTGGTGTGTCACTGAACTTGGCTCCCAGATTCGACCAGACCCTCTGACCAACAAACCTCTGGAGAGCTACTTTTCTCTGATCTTCAGTGCCAGCATTACAACTGGGTGTCATGCTCAGATTTTAAATGGGTTCTAGGGATCTGAACCCAGGTCTTCTTGTGCAGCAGGCCCTTCATCCACAGTCATCTCCCCAACATCAGAATACTTATGAAAACTGGGTATTTTAATTAAAAATAAAAAATAAAAAACACTGTTGTTGATAGATTTGCTCTATCCTGTGCTTGCTTCCAAAAGCTTCCCTTTTCCTTCTCTCTTAGTTGCTCTCTTTGTGTAGAGATTGCTTAGAGAAGTAAGAAATGCCTTGTGTCTGATAGAGACCTCATGCTTCCTCCTAACTCATCTGCCTGCTCAGGTGTATCTCACAGAGGATCCTCACGGCCCAGGCCTTTCTTGCCCTAATGGACCAGAGATAGATAGAATGATATAATGTGTGTCCAGTGTGCTTATTGTCCTGGTAGCAGTCTAGTACAGTGCTTTTCAACCTTCTTAATATGACAACCCTTTGATACAGTTCCTCATGTTGTGTTACTCCCCAACCATAAAATTGTTTTCATTTCTACTTCAGTTTGCTATTGCGGTGACTTATAATGGAAATAGTTTTGGAGATAGAGATTTGCCAAAGGGGTCGAGACCCACGTGTTGAGAATCACTGGTCTGTCACGTCTTAATGATGAGCTCCAATCCCTTAGGACCTGGGTATAAGATTAATACCTGTCTTTGCTTGTGTAGTTGTGTACTGACAATATAATTTCAGGGCTCTTTGGGGCTGACAAGTCACCCAGGTTCTACACTGCAGAACTTCACAATTATGGACACTGTCCTTCTACCTGGCCCCATCAGTGATTCCATTAGATTTTTCAGGTCTGTGAAATTAACAATGAATAGTAAACTTTATAGCTAACCTCTCTTTTTGCTTCCCTTATTTGCAGCTCATTTATAACAGCTTTGCTCAGTTCTTAGTCAAGGAGAAAGGGTATGATAAAGAGTTGCTGACTCTGACCCCAGAGGACTGGGATTTCTGGTAAGTCCCCCAAACACTCTTTTCCATCTACCTCTCTGTGGCTACTGATAACATCTTACTGCTTACTTACCTGCAAAGGTGGACAGTGAAACATGAAATCAGCCAAAGGACAAAATAACTTTTCCTCTACGAGTTTTGTGTTTAATGAATTAAAATATTGTACTTTAAATAGTTTAGACTTTATTTAATAGGAAAATGACCTTTCAGCTTGTGACTACTTGTAGGATATTTTTATGTAATTCCAGTCAGTCACAGGCTAGGAGGATGAAGGGATACTAACAACTACAGTTTACATCTTTGCGAAAAGGTTTGTTTTATTATTAAGACTCATGAAAGAGGAGTCCTCATGTTTACACAAGTGACTGAATTGGGACATTTGGATAAATATTCCTTTCTGATTCTTATTGTTCATTCCCTTCTTGGCTTATGATTTTCAGCTTCTTTGCCTTTCATCCTCATTTAAACAGCAAAAAAGAAGCAAGAAAGCTCAATCAATTTAAATTGTTTAGTTTATGGAGGTGTGGCAGCATGTGCATGCAAGTATGAATATAGTTCTGGCTACCTAAAGCTGGAGGCAGGAGGATGCCATTTAGAGTTAGTTGGGCAGCATAGAAAGTCCCTGTCTCTTACTTAAGATTGGAAAGAGGGCTCAGTCAGGAATGTGCATGCAGAGGACCTGGGTTCAGTCCTTCAGAGCCCATATAAACAGAAGGAGCTGGTGCTTCCCAAGGCTCAAGGGTCATTGCAAAAAAAGAGGGTGAAAAGATCGTAAAAGGTAAAGGTAGTGAGTGACTGCAAGGGAACTGTTCTCAGGACAGAACAGGGTAGTTGCACATACTAACTCACAGAGGTGGTGACAGCATGTACATGTCCTGGCTAAGTTCAAGCCCTATAAAATCCAAGTGTGGAGCAGTATGATGGGCACCAACTCCCACCCTTAGCTGAGGAGCTAGTGACAACTGTGGCTTCTGGGAAAAGGAAACTTCAGTCTTCAAGGATGGGGCCCCTGAGAGGCTACCCATGTACCAGTAGAAATAGGTAGTGACAGTTCTGAGTACACACACACACACACACACACATGAAGTTGGGAGGAAATAGTAGGGAGGATGTGGGAAGACTTGGAGTGTGGAGAAAGGGGAGTGTGGCCAGTGCACACTGAACATGTGCACAGAATTTTTAAATGAAGAAAGGGGTAGAGGGAGGGAAGAGGATGAGTGCAATCGCTCCTCTGTAATCCCAGTATTAGGGAGGCAGAAACAGAGGGATCCCAGGGCTTTCATGTCCAGTTAGCCTCACCAACCATGAGCAGGTTCAGTGACACATACTGTGTTGAAAAGTAAGGTAAGGGGGAAGCAGCCTTACCAGGCCACAGAGGAAGACAATGTAGCCAATCCTGATGAGACCTGATAGGCTAGCATAAGATAGAAGGGGAAGAGGACCTCCCCTATCAGTGGACTGGGCGAGGGGCATGGGAGGAGATGAGGGAGAGAGGGTGGGATTGGGACAGAAGGAAGAAGAGGGCTACAGCTGGGATACAAAGTGAATAAATTGTACTAAATAAGTAAAAAAAACAAAGGAACTCAAGAAATTAAAAAGAAAAATTTATAAAAGAAAAGTAAGATAGAGAGATGGGACACCTGACATCGGCCTCTGGTTTGCACCACACACAAGCATACACATGTGAACACATGTGAGAACATGTATACAGAATACATACAAATTAACTAAAAATAACTATCATTTAGATTATAGTTAAAAATACATGCAGAGTGATCAAGCATTCTGCATCACGCTGAAATTTGTTATTTGTTTGTCTTTTGAGATAGTCTTTCTATCCTGAGAAGTAACAGCTCTGACCATGAGAATTTATTGTTTCTCGAAGTTTTGACTATGAATAAAAGTAATGCCCCCAAGTGCCCTTTTGTTTTTTTTTCTTAACCTTGCTGTTTGCCAGCCATTATGCTGCTTATTATTATGCTGTTATTATTCATAATGTGAATCTATACACTTCTCTCCAGATCCCCACAAGTCTTTTATAATAACCTAGAGCTTAGTATTTGACTTTTTTTTTTTTTCTGGTTTTTAGTAATATGCCTTGCCCAGAAGGTGAGTTTTTATAAGTAGACCTATATGGAGGTATGTTAGAAACAGCGAAGAAAACACCCTGGCAAAGACGTCAGTTTGTGAATTCTAAATGTGTATGGAGATATGGAAATATATATATATATATATTCATGGGCATGTTTCTGTTTGTAAGTGGTTTAGTTTTATTTTTATTCGTGTGTGTGTGTGTGTGTGTGAAGGTCAAGGGTCAACTTGCAGGAGTCTGTTCTGAACTCAGGTTATCAACTTTGTTCAACAATCATTTTTACCCCCTGAACCATTTCAGCTGCCCATGTGCTTTAGATAATGGACATTTGTATATTTTAACAAGATACGGATACTCTTCATTTAGTATTTTCTCTTTTGAGTTGTGTCCTTCTTTTACAAAGACTTTATAAGCTGACCATGTTAGCCTTTGCCTTCTGGGCAGTTTCCATGTGTACCTGTTTTTAAGTGATACTTAATGTTATAGTTTCTGGATGTGCTCTCTCATTGATTAACATATCCTTTGTTCACATGACAAAAATCTCTTTAACATTGTAACATTTAATAATGCAGATTTTTTTTTCTTTGAGGTTAACTAATATATGATATGACTGATAATCAGACTTTCCATTTTAGTTGCAAGGGTTTGGCATTGGATCTGGAAGATGGGACCTTCATTAAGCTTGCGGCTGATGGCACTGTGCTCAGGTAATTTGATGTAATTGTGGTCAGAGTCTCACTCCTTCCAAGACACTTTATTACTAGTGTATAGTCCTTAAGCTACAAGATGGAGTTATTATTTTAGTCAGTCAGATGCCAGATAATAGCTCTGTATTACTTTTAACTTCTTAGAAGTATTTGCAGGAAATACAGTAAAAATAACATGCCTACCTTTTTCTTCAGAAGTTTGTGGATATTGCACTGTTTGCCTTTTCTTAAGTACTTAGACTAACATCAGGGATTCTTTGATTAAAGGAGATGCTGCTGGATACTGGGTAGAGGTTGGTGGTCTGTGTAGACCCTTTTAGGCCATACTTACTTCCATCCTGAAGGGTTCCTTTTGGACTGCATCAGCCCCACGCTCTGGTTCTCATTTCACCCCTCCTCTGAGTGCACACAGACCTCTCAGGAGTTGACCCAGGTGTGATCAGCAGCTTCGCTGCTGCTACTGAGTCTTACGGAGAGTACTGTGGAGTGAGGATCCATCCCCCCACGTGTTAACCCTGTAGTCATGCCAACATGACAGTACTGGCACTCTTATTCACACCCATTTGTTCCGTATCAAAGAAGGCTCAATATGGAACCCTGTAGGCACTCACTCTTTTGGTACTTTCGATACATCATTTGTTTTGTAATCAGGTTGCTTTCCTATATCTCCCAGACTAAGGTGCTTCTAAAAGGAACAGGTATGACCTTATCTCTGTTTTCTCATTTATTTGCATAATTTTTTTTCAAGCAGAGTGGGTATGGGTGTGGTGTGTATGTGTGTATATGCAAGTACTCTGTCCATGACCTTTAATTCTGTAAGTCTGTGATCAGGATGCTAGTAGTCTTGGCAATCTTCAGTCATTCTCTAGTTGCTGATTTCTGTCCAGTCCCTGTCTCTCTCAATTCAACTTCTGAATAACCTGAAGATCCTCTTTCACGGTTTAGATTCTGTCTGCTCACGATTGCCTGTAGGAGCCATCCACCTTGATGCGTAGCATTCTGAAGTGTATGCCTTTAAAGAAAAGAACTTCCTGTGTATTCTTCCTCACCTGTTCTTCCTTTATTTTTTCATTTTCCCCTTCAGATTATTTTCTAACTAAAAAGAAATATGCTCTTATGTTTCCTTAATGATCTATTTTAATAACAACTATCTACCTACTATATGGTGAGAGTCACCTAGCAAAGCTGTAATGAAGCAAAAGCAGCATTTTGAGCCTAGAACCTTGCTATTTCTGTGTCCTGTTCTGTTTGGCACGTTACTCTGGCTTCTGCTTGCCAGCATGATGCCAATGTGTTTGTTGATCCAATGTCTGTGTCCTTGTTTGGGCAAGTTGTCTACCTTGTTGGACAAATTGACCCTTGGTGCCAGGTGCCCGCCACTCCTGTGTACCTGATATGGCTCGTGTTCTAACCTGCTCTTCCTTCCTGATGCCAAAGTCACCCTCCCCACCCAGTCTACAATGATGTCTCCTAATTGTTCCAGTTGGATGATATGTATTTTGTTCTTGCCGTGTGTGTGTGTGTGTGTGTGTGTGTGTGTACATGCATGTTACTAGGGATAGAATCCAGGGCCACACACATGCTAGACTAATTTCCTATCACCAGTCTACATCCCCAGTCCTTTTGTTTTCCTTTTATGTCTAAGACAAGGTCTATCTTAAATTTTCCCAAATGACTTTGAACTTGTGGGCCTCTAGCCTTACCCTCTGGAGGAGCTGGGGTTTCAAGCACATGCCGCTGTGCTGGCTTTGTCTCATCTTTTGATGACACTGCAGCTTCTCTAGGAAAGGGCAGGTTCTTCTGCAGCAGTGACCTTGCATAGGGCAACTGCTCCTTACTTGATAGTGAATAGACTAAATGTGGAAGAGCCAGAGCTGTGGTAGAAATCCCTGAGTAGCCAGACAGTGGCCTATGAACTGGTCGACTTTTACTTCAGTTGCTTAGGCAAGTGTTTCCTGTCTTAAGTGTGTAGTATCTTGGTTGTTATGCTATGACTATAAAGGCTTATAGAATCCCAGACCTGTAGAGATCAACCCAGTTGAAAACCAGCGACACAAAAAAGAAAAACAGTAGTTGGGCATGGTGGCCCATAGTTAGCACTCAAGAGGCTGAGTCAGGAGGATCACAGGTTTGAGGCCAGCCTACACTAGATGCCTAGATCCTATCTCAAGAAAAAAGAAAAACAAAACTGTGTTAATTCCAGTGAGATTGGGGATCAGTAGTCTCAGTGTCATAGAGGAGGCAGTCAAGAGAACTGCCAGTGAGCTCTGCAGTCCTCTCTTCAACAGGGCAAGCCACGGCACCAAGATGATGACTCCAGAGGTGCTGAGCGAGGCCTTTGGCAAGAACGAGTGGAGGTACTGTATGTCAGACAAACACTGTGCGTCCAGCGCCGACATTCCTTGCTGCTCAGGTAGGGTTCCTCTACTGCCCACTCTGTGTCACCTTTCGCCTCACACCAGCAATGTGAGGACACAGAGAAGAACCTCTGTTTCTCTGGCCAAGCAAGATGTCCAGAGGAATGGCTTTTTCTTTATAGCACTGGAATGAATTGTTTTTCTGGTATGTGTGGTTTCTTTTTGGCAATGATTCAGGGCATACTTACGTACCATGTTTCTACTGTCGTAATGAAGCTTTCGTCAGAGTAAGAAGATGATGGTGAGGATGATGTATCCCTTAGCTGGACCTACCTCTTTATGCAGGAATTACAAGCTCCATCTTCGGTTTCCCTCTCTCCCAAGCCTGCACTTCCACTGCCTGGCACTCCTGTTTCCTAGATTCTGCTTCCTTACTGAGAGCCTAGTCTCCTGCCTCTGATTTTTATTTTAAAATGATTCCATGTGTTCTTCTCAAGTTTTGCAGAGAGCTTACCAAAGCTAAACATGAAGCAGGATTTTGGAAATTATTTACTGATCTAGGCATTCGTGGATTGATTTGAAGTGGTTAAGATCTTTTTATGGCCAAGGAGTCGTCATGACAATTATGCTGTTTCTCTGTACTCTTTGCCTTAACCTTCTGCTCTCTCTACCACACTGCAGTGTTAAAATGCACTCTTTCCCTTTCAGACATGTGATAACCAGAACTGTTGTGTGGCCTTGTTATATTTGCCACCTTTGGGGATATTTTATTTAAATCTTTCTGGTGGGTTGAAAGCATTAGAGGATATGAGAGTTTTTGACAAATAAGTGGGTAAGAAAACAAAACTTTGCCTTAGAGTTCAGTATAGGATGCTTTTCAGTAGAGGAAGCAAATAGTTTCCTTCCCAAGTAATGGTAATGTCCTGTTGTCTCTGGCTGGGAATATTGCTCACTGGTAGAGTGTGCCTAGTTTGAGTCAAGTTGTAAGTTCAATTCCCAGGAGAAAAAAAAAAAAAAGTTCTTCCCTTTCCCAAGGAAAGCTAAGCTCATAGCTAGGTGTTTCACTTGGGAATTCATTCAAAATCTTGAATATTTTTAAAAGTAAAATATTCTGCAGCTATGAGAAAGAGCAGGCGCCCAGTTATGAAAGGCTCATTTGTTTACCATGTTCCCACCAAAGGGCATTGTTTCTTTGAATCAGCAGCTCCTCCTGCTTCATTTCCTCATAAGCATTCTGGTGATTTGGGAATTAGTCTAATCTTACCCGGTTTGTTGGGCAGAGTTGCTATCCAGGTGTGTAGAGCCTGGGATGTCAGACTGTGATACGCAATAAAGGCCCATCTCCTTTTTTTTTTTTTTTTTTTTTTTCATGTTTGTAGCAGCTTTATTTGCAATAGCCAGAAGTCGGAAACCGCCCAGATGCCCATCAGTTGAGGAATGGATACAGAAATAGTGGCACATCTAAACAATGGAATACCACTCAGCTATAAGAAACAAGGAAATCATAAACTTTTTTTAAATAATTTACTTTTTATGTGCATTGGTTTGAGGGTTTCAAATCTCTTAGAATGGGAGTTACAAACAGTTGTGATCTGCCATGTGGGTGTTGGGAATTGAACCTGAGTCCTTTGGAAAACAGACAGTGCTCTTAATTACTGAGCCATCTCTCCAGCCCCCTGTTGTTTTTATGGTAGACACTGCTTTGTACTTCACAGAATGTGGCTTAAAACAGAAGATAGAAATTAATGCTTATTAAATTATTAAAGTTTTCTTATTTCCTTTCTATATAGACACATTGTTCACAAGTAGACAAACATAGGCATACTAAAATGACTTGATCTATGACAGCATATCAGGTAAAAAATAAGTAAGTCATCAATATTTGGCTTGAGTAAACTTAGTCTTTCTATGTGAGAAAAGTGATTCATATTCATTTACATGAAAAAGAAAGTTTATAGATAATATCACCCTAAAATATAAGTAATGAAATTTCATTTCAAAACTATATTATTGATTTCCATGTACATATAGAATTGGCAATGCTATTTTCATTTACAGATTTGCATAAGAAAAACAAAAGTAGATAAATTGAGTCAGAAGAGAGCGAAGAATGTTACATAACCCATATTTAACTTACCATATTGTTTTGAATTAAAATATATATTTAAATATTCTCCAACCTGATAAAAATACTTTAAGTGACAAAAGAGCTGATTCAAATAAGTAAAAACTAGTCGGTCTCTGTGTAAGATGGGGAAATTTTACCTTACCGGCCATGAACCCAAGTGTTCTGCTTCAAAAAAGAAAAGTAGATGTGAAGAACATGGGCATATGAGTATATAAGGCTGAAATAGTACTAAATTAATGACATTGCCCATCTCCTTTAAAAGTAAAACTTTTTAAGTGCCTGTGCACTTAAAACCAGAGGAGGATGACAAGACACCCCAGAGCTGGAGTTGGAGTTACAGGTGTCTGGTTAGAACCAGCATGAGTGCTGGGATGCAAACTCAGGTCCTCTGGAAGAATGGCACATGCTCTTAACCACTGAGCCTTCTCTCACTCCTCAAATAAAATTTTATAAGTACAGAGAAGTATGAAGAAAAAAGGTCCAGTGGTTCTATAGTGCAATTCAACTATCCTTACATTAAAATACAGTCAGACCGGGGAGGAAGGAGGGGTTTATGGGGGGATACAAAGTGAATAAAGTGTAACTAATAAAAAAAAGAAAAAAAAAATACAGTCAGACCAGCCAGGTATAGTGGCACATGCCTGTAATTTCAATACTCACGGAGGCAGAGGCAAGCGGATCTCTTTGAGTTCAAGGCCAGCCTGGTCTGCAATGTCAGCCCAGGATAGTCAAGGCTACACAGAGAAACCCTGTCTCAAAACAAAAACAAACAAACAAACAAACAAAAACCCAGCATCTGGCTGGTAAAATTAAATATTTTAAAAATAAGGAACAAGGGACTGTGGATTTCACTGAGATTCCTGGGGAGATTGAGTGGTCCATTTTACTGGCTTGGTAGTTGAGCTGGCCATCTGAGCTACCAGGTTCCAGGGTCTTTGGGAGAAAGCATGTGGCTTTTGTTATAACTGTTGTGAGATGCTGCTTAGCAGTACAAATGTTGGGTCAAATGTTGGGTCACAGCAGTGTGATATGGACCATCAGAAGTTGCTTGAGACATAGAAATCCCAAGGTGACGGATGTGCCAAGGAAAGGCTTGGATTTTACCCCAGGGCCATACAGAGGAAACCTTAATCCTTTTCTCCCATGAGAGTGTGGAGTATCCTTGTCCAGTACTCTTGAGTTTTTCTGATTCCAGCCACTATACACTCACATGATACGAGTTTTGTTCCTGTCATCACCCTGATGTTCTCCTGTTTTCCTATTTTTTTCTGAAATGGCATAAAAGTTGAATGTAGTATTTAGCTGGGTTATTATTATTTAGCTCAGGTATTAGGGCAGTTTATGGAGAACATTTCCTAGGACTCTAATGTTAGATTATTTGACTGTTTTAAAATTTGGTGAAATTTATAACATTTTATGGCTTCTTCATATTACATTTTATAGTGATAATATATTCTGTTTTCGAGGTTATATGTTTTGCAATAAATATGTCCTAATAAAATGTTTAGCTTACATACGTCATGTTTCAACTTTCATTTAGTGTCATTAGTGCTTAAAAGATGACTATGGGGGCTGGAGAGATGGCTTGGCAGTTAAGAGCACTTATTCGAGCAGAGGACTCAGGTTCAGTTCCCAGAGCCCACATGGCAGGTCACAACTCTCTGTAACTCCAGTTCCAGGCACCAGGCACCCATGTATTGAAAATGCTCAGACACTCCCAATTTAGAGGAAAAAAAAAAAAGTAAAATATGGAAAAAAGAGTAGCTTGTAGTAATGCCTTGAGTTCAAATGGGGCTTTTCACTGGAATTACTATAGAAAGTTCTCTCCAAATCCAGTTAAGAGTATCAGTGTGCAATGCATTGTTTAAGGACAAAAGTAACACGAGTAAAATGTGCTCCAGATAAAAATTAAAAAGGCTAGGCAGGATCTGAGTTCAGTCCCCAGAAGTCACATTTAAAAACACAGGCATGGTGCCACATGCGCTTGCAATCCCAGTGCTTGGAAGTGGGAACACACAGAATCCTGATGTTCTGAAAACAAATGGCAGCTAGTGCCTGAGGAGTGGCACTGGCTGACATCTGGCCTCTACTTGCAGATGCACACCGCCACACACTCACACCTCTTCCTCGAACTCCAACACGCAGAACAACATAACGTGGGGGCTTTTCAGATAGTTAAATGAGCGTTCAGACCCTCTTCAGACACGTTTCTCTTGTTTTCCACGGGCAGGAGGCATTGATTTTGTCTGTTTGTTTGTTTTAGGGAAGTGTTATTTCTATGATAACTACTTTGACCTGCCAGGGGCTCTTCTGTGCGCCAGAGTGGTGGACTCTTTGACAAAGGTGAGTGGGCACTCGGTTTATAAACAACAACCAAAGCTGTATTTAGTCATAAGTACGAAGAGTTAATTATGTGTAACTTTTGAGTTGAGATTTCACTTTGTTTTCTTTGGGTGGTTTCAGAGGTGACTGAGTAAGCAAACATGGTGAATCTGGTCAAAAATATTTTTGGAAAATTAAATAATAGTACCCATAAAAAAAATGTTGGGTCAGAAAAAGTCACCCTTTTCTCCAGCAGGGGTCGTAAAAGTCTAGAAAAAGGAAACAGAAAACATGTTCTGGATAAATGTATTTTTGCTTTCATTAGCAGATTAAAAGTAAGAAAAATTCCATGTGTCGTTACGTATTCCAAATACCAACCTAGAAGCATGAAACAATTTTTTTTAATCATTTGCTTTGTGCCTGCCCAGAAAAAGTAAATCTATTAATTTGACAATTTATACTTAGCCTAAAAACCTACAAATAAAACTTGTTTTACATGCCAGTATTTCTTTTATTTTTGGCTACGTTGTCTTTTAAAATCATAATGAAGTATACAGGTGGCTTATTATTAAAAAGAGAATTACAGTCATGCATCTGTGAACGTTTTTGTTGAGCAGGAGAGAAGTTTGGTTTGGTTTGGTTTGGTTTGGTGCTGGGGATTTTTGTAAGGGCCTAGAGTGTGCAAGCATATCACCACTGAGGTAAATCCTAAGCATTGTGGGTTTTGTTAGTATAAAATGGAGTCTTAAACCAAAAGGGGTGAGGAATATCAAATCTTCCCCTCCCCTGAGGCCTGGGGATCAAACCCAAGTCCTTCTGCTTCCAGGCAAGGGCTGTACTGCTGAACTACATCCAAGGTCATCAGTCTTTTGTAATTTGTAGCATTCATAAAGAAGACACTATTAATGTTTCTATGAAATAAAGGGCTGTAGAGTTGTATAGTTGGATGTAAACCCTCTGGTAGCCTGGAAAAGTCTCCATAAGATGATTTCCATTTTGGATTTAGCACCTAACTCATCCTGCTGTGGTGACTTAGTGACATGTATGTTGAAATGCAGTGGAAGTGGACACTGAATTCTGAACTAACCTGCTTTGGGCCCTGTAGTACCATCATGCATTAAATAACACATTCTATTATTTCAGAAGCGAGAGCACTTTGTACATTTCTTGTACGGTTAGACATCCTGTAGCTTTAGGCTGTATGAGTAGACATTTTCCCCTTAGTTGGGTTTTGTGAACTGCATTAATATTTAGTCATATTTATTTGTGTGTTGACTTGTACGGGTGATTTTTAAGGAATATTTCTGTATTAATCTGTCATGTTTTCCAAAACCTGAATTTCTAAAGTCGATACACATAATGATTTGCTGTACCTTGCCACTATGCTTAGAAACAGAACTACTATACTTGTTACATTTGGAAATTTCTTTTTTTAGCAGAACAGAGGTCAAAAAACATTTGATTTTTGGAAGGATGTAGTTGCTGGTATACAACACAATTTTAAAACGTCAGCCTTTAAGGGTGAGTAACGTGAAGAGAGGCTTCCTGGCAAGGTTTGTTAAACGCCCCGTGTCTACTGAATTAGATAGATGCTTTTGCTGTATTTCTTACTTGGGATTTGTCCTGATAAAAATGTTTGCTATAAAATTAGTTCTGGTACCTGTGTTCATATCTGTTCTGTGGTTGTAGTTGTCAGGAGTCTGAGCCAGCCTGGTCAGCTGCCTTCATTTGTCTCCCAAAGCAGTTCTCCTGGGCTGGAGGATGGTCCCCAGAATCAAAGCCCCAGTCCTTGTTTCCTGCTTGAGCTGGAGACACCTGTAACCCTCAGTGTAGTCGTGATGGAGAGACGGATAACGTGCGTACTGATACAATTTCCATTCTCATTGTAAGGACTAGGAGTGCTTGACGCAGAATGGGAGCAGAGTTACTGCACCTCAAGCTAGGGCTTCTAGTTTTCCTCTGCAGATTTACAGAGTCTTATTCCAAGGAGTGAATAGCCTTTGTGTTACATTGCCCTAGTGGTTGAGTCAGACTGGCTTGGTTAACATATGAGCTGATGGATGCTAATCAACAGGATTTTAAGTTTTGAAATATGTTGCCATTTGATTGACACCCAAAAATTACATGCCTTTTCAGTAAATCAAGCCTTCAGAATAATTTTAAATATTATGACTAAAATGTGCTAAGGCAGTAAACATTAATTGCAGGATATTTGTTTCAATTTGATATTTGTCTTACATCCTCTTTTTCCTCTCCAAGACAAAACCAGTGCTTTGAAGTAATGTTTGTGTAATTTTATTTTCCTGGGTCTACTCAGCAGCTTTGGTCCTAGCTCATAGAGGCTGTTTTCTTTTTTTTAGATCTTTATAGTATGTGGCGTGTGCCATGCCCATCTTGACAGAGAGACAAATCCATGACAACTGTAAAGCCACCCACTACTTCATTGTTTTTCTTATTAGCTTTATCCAATGAAAAGCTGTAAAGTGTGGTTGAGAACAGCCAGTTTTTTATTTGAAGTAAATTCAGCAGAGAAGAAAGATTGATTCATGTCATTTTATTGCTTTGTAATAACAAGTAGATTAAATATTCCGTGCTTTAGTAAGTGAGGTACAGCTTAACAGTTTTAAACAGTAATATCAAAATACAGTACAGAGCATAAATAAATAATATATTTTTGTTTCTAGCCTGGCTTTGAAATCTTTAATGTTAATTATATTTTCATGGGAATGGAAGACACACTAGATGTCTATTCTGATGTTCTGTAAGCCCATAAAATCATTTTATAAAGATGCAGCAAGGCATTAAATCAGAGTGATCACACTATGTTACGGACATAAGAATAAGTCAGACACCTGTTTCCAAGTTGCACCAGGTATGTGGACTTTCTGCAATTGCAGAAAAGCTTGAAATGGCTTGTGACAAAGCACCTTGTAATTCAAATTAATTTTAATGCAGTATTTTGGATTCTAATGATCGCTTCAAAAAGTCTGTATGCACCTGTGCTTTTGAATTTATCTTGGTGAAAGGCTATATGAGCCGTTGAGTGATGCACCATCAGATATAGCCTAGGATATACAGTGTCCTTTAAATTTGAATATTCAAGTATTTAAAGAATATAAAGTTATGTGATACTTTCTGCATGTTTCCTAAAAGTTCTCATATTAATTATTTAAAATGGGCTCTTCCTAAAAAAAAAGAAATGCTTAGTTTCTGAAATGAAATTTATGGTGAATTGGAACCATATTTCTGTTTTTGTGAGGATTTTTTTTTTAACTTATGGTAAAAATTATAAATATTGATAGAATCACAGAACCTTTAGGGTTGCTGCGTATTCAGGATAAACCTCACATATTCACCGCTGCTGCTCACTTTTCCAGGAGGAAACTTGGTCTCGGAGTATGTTTTAGAAAGTCTTTTAAGTTGTTCACATTACTTTTAGCCTACCTCCATATGCATCTCCAGGGTGGTCACAATGGAATTGCAGGGAAGCCTTTCCAAGCGAGGGATTTAGCTGACCTTGGCAGGAAGTGCTCACATGGGAGCCACTAGGAATCCTGAGAAGGATGAGTGGACATACTCAGAGGAGTAGAGGCCGTTGGACTCTGCATTGGGCAGCTGGAGCCACACCTGGTCATTTTCTGTGAGCTCCATAATTGCACTCCCTGAAGCCTGATCCAGGTAGCCTTTGCTATACTCATCATAAGTGTACATCGTGGGTGTGCCGTTCTTGTACAGGCCAACCCAAACATGAGTCCCTTTCACATGCACGTGGTAGGAGAAATAGTATACACCTGGGATCTTACAGGTAAAGATACCAGATCTTGGGTCATAATGCTGCTGTCTATTATACAAAATCACATCAAATGGGATGGGGCTGCCTACTGCTGGGTAAGCTTTGGAGAGCATGACAGTAAAAGCAGACACTGGCATTCCTGTTACTCCATGGTTAGCACTGACAAGAGGCATCCCAGGAAGCCTGGGCCTTTGGCCTGCCTTGGTGAAGCCATCAGGCATGATTGCTTGGCCAGGTGGTCCTGGGGGTCCCGGGGGACCTGGAAGACCGGGTTCTCCACTGTGGCCTCTTGGACCAGGAGGACCTGGGGGACCAGTGGGCCCACTGAGGCCCTTAGTTGCTATGCCAGCTGGGCCTGGAGGACCTGGTTTTCCAGGGTCACCCTTAGATCCAGGGAATCCTGGGATACCTGGTGGCCCAATGGGGCCCCTGGTGCCTGGTATTCCAGGTTCACCTCTTGGACCTGCCTCGCCACTGTGTCCAGGCACTCCCTTAGCTCCTGCAGGGCCAACAGGACCTTGAAGACCGGGGGCTCCTCCCACTCCAGGATCACCCTTTGGTCCTGGTAATCCTGGGTTACCTTTAGGACCATTAAGACCTGGCTCACCAGGGTACCCTCTTTTTCCATCTACACCAGGGGGACCCCTTGATCCTCTAGCCCCAGGTGGCCCTGCAGGCCCAACTGGACCTGTCTCACCTTTAGCACCTGGAATACCATGATTCCCTGGGTTTCCCTTAGGTCCTTGGGGTCCCATATTCCCAGGGGGTCCAGTCAGACCTGGCTCCCCAGGATGACCTGCGGGTCCTTGTTCCCCTTTGGCACCTGGGGCCCCAGGAAGACCTGCAGGTCCTCTTTGTCCCCTCAAACCTGGCAAGCCTTGCTTTCCAAAGCCAGGAGCTCCTGGAGGCCCAGCTATTCCTGGAGCCCCGGGGTGGCCTTTTTCTCCTGGGATACCTGGTTGACCTGGGGCTCCAGTGGTTCCTGGCTTCCCAATACCTTCCCGTCCTTGTTTCCCAGGAAGACCTTGGGGACCTGGTGGACCTGATTGTCCCCTTTCTCCTGGGAAACCCCGATCACCTTTGATGCCTGGCTGTCCTGGAAAACCATTTTCACCTCTTCTTCCCACTCCAGGAGGACCAGGGGGACCTACAGGACCCTGAGGACCTGGAAGACCCCTCTCACCTGGACGGCCAGGAGCACCATATCCTGGTTCTCCCTTCAGTCCATTCATCCCAGGGGCTCCTGGTGCCCCCTTTTCTCCAGGAAATCCCCTGGGTCCTGGGGTACCTGTAAGTCCCTGCTGTCCAGGTTTTCCTGACACAGAAATTCCAGCAGGCCCAGGTATTCCAGGTGGCCCTGGAGGCCCCCGAGGTCCTGGTAAGCCAGCTGGGCCAATATCTCCTTTGTGTCCATAGGGTCCTCTCTCTCCTTGTTTGCCTGGTGGGCCTGGCAGGCCTGGCTTCCCAGTGGCTGATATTCCTGGTGGTCCTGGCAAGCCTGGCTCTCCTTGGAGTCCAGGACTTCCATAGCCTGGCTTTCCTGGCGGTCCTGAAGGACCTGGATGTCCTCGAGGTCCAGCTGGGCCGGGTGGACCAGGAATTCCTTGCTCTCCTCTTACTGGAATTCCTGTAAGACACACACCACCCAGCATGAGCAACATTAAAGGCAACCAGAGCTTCTCAAAGCGCTATAAAGACAGCATTTGGTAGTGCCCTGTGTTCCAATAGCAATTCCATACAACAGTCTTGAGTGGGGCTGGATTGTATGAGTAATGTATTTGTAGTCATTGTAAATGTCACACAAAGTGTTTATTTCTGAGAAATTTTATATAACCAGTAAAAATGACAATAGCGTTGCAGTTGATTTTTAATATTTACTTGTACAATTTTTTATTTAAATTATTTTACTTAATAAGTTTTTAGAAGCTTTAGGTGTTTTTTTGTACTTTTGAAGAGTAGTTCTTAGTAATGTAGATTGATCAGATGTGACAGTAGATGGCGCAAAACTGTAAAAATGATGTTTAAGTATGAGCTGCTTATTTATTTTATCTTATGCTGTTTGTATCTGTGTGTGTGTGTGTGTGTGTGTGTGTGTGTGTGTGTGTGTGTGTGT